TTATATTCGTTTTCTAATTTTTAACGAGGGTGGAGGTGGGACAAATAAGAGAAAACAACCTGGGACCCACACGCTCCGCTCTCCTCTCGCGGTCCTTGACATTTTGGCTGTCTGAAATCGGACGGCTGGGAGCCTGGGAGCCAACGCCGGCGTCGGCTCGAGCCGATAGGATGGAGTCGCTCTCGGCTTGGCAAGAAATTGACGGTCCCAATCTTATCTTTTAAGCGAGCACACCATCCGAGACCAACTCCCACGTGCCCCGTGGGCCACGTGTATCTCCGGTCTTGATCCGGCGTGGTCTATTCCCTCGAGTCTGAGGGGGCATCGACGGCTATCATTAACTCCGATCGACACGCGTAGGGCGTCGATTGTACGAAGGCGTGCCGCGAGCCAAAGCCAAATCTCCTCATCTGGGACCGGGGATTTGCAATTTGGGAAAGATAAGATTAGAAAATTCATTGGTCCCCGCGCGTACCTTAAGGACTGGTCGGCATTTCCTCTTGTGCTGCTTTGCCAGCACAAGCCCTTCTTGACGACACTCCGGACAATTTGGTCCATGGAACGGGGGAAAACACCCTCTTTGGGATCCGGGTTCATTTCAGCCCGTTGATCGTGTTGACCTGTGTTATCGGGCTCACGCGAGACTCGCGTGATCAACGGCTCTCGAGAAGAATCCGATCTTCCGATCCGGGCTAGAATCCTCTCCAAGGGCGAGAAGGAAGTTTTCTCTGCCGTATCGACACGATGATGTAATCTCGCGTAATTGATTATTTACTTTTCCGTCGATATCTTTGCAAGGTCGCCCCCCGCACAGGAGACTAGCTAACTCAAATACGCAAAACTCGAAGTCATCTCGACTCAACAAATCAAAGCTCAAAACAAGAACAAGGCAGAACGAGGCTCGATAGTTGACTTGAGCTCGATAAATTTTGAATTTCCAAGTTCGACAGACTCGACGGCCCCCTCTCGAGCACGATTAGAAAGAAGAGGTCGCCTAGGATCGTGTCGTCGCCATTTGTACAACCTATCGAAACCAGCTATGTTGTACCTAACGATGACCGAAAGCATGGCAAGAGAGGTTTTGCCCCCGTTCTCTTCGTCTCTTTTCAGGGCCACAAGATCCATCCTACATGAATACTACTTCCCGAGGAGGCAGTTGGATCGACGTTGTTTTCCACGTTGATGTTTCATTCCCTTATCTTATCCAAACGTCAATATTGAGCACTCATTAGGCTAAATCTAGACCCAACTTGGACGTGGCCTATGCATATGCATAATGTGTGGTCTCGACGGATCGAGCTGATCCACTAACTTGGAAACGGTATCGCTAGGCGAAGCCATCCTTATTAAGGATTTATGATGCATGCCTAGGGTCTACGTCCGAATAAGTTTTAATTATTGCCTCGTTTAGTTAAAAAAAAAATAGGTTCAAATAAAATAAAAAATGATTCATGAACTGATTTACAAGTGTCATAAAAGCATGGGAAATTGTCAAATAAGGATCCAAAGTGGGTACATTTTTTCAAAAGAGGACCCCAAGTGGACAAAGTATCAATTAAGGACCCAAATGCCCAAACTAGTATCAAATAAGGACCTGAGCTCGCTGGCCGGCCAAATGTTCGCCGGCCGGCGACCGGCCGACATTTCCGGCATCGGAATAGGGGCAATTTTGTCCAAAAATTTTTTCTTTTCTTTTTCTTTTCTTTTCTTCTTCCCCGGTCGCCGATCCGGCGACCGGCGACCGGGCCAGAGCTGAGGCCGGCTCGAGCTCGAGCTCGCCGGCCATGGCGAGCTCCGCCCAGATCTGGACGAGCTCGAGGAGGCCGGCCTCGCCCGGATCACGTAGTCGAGGGCCTTGGCGGGGCCGTCGCCGGAGGCGATGGTGTCGGGCGCGAGCTTTAGGAGGAAGGGCCCGAGATCCGGGTTGTCGAGGGCCGCATCGGGCGGGGCGGGGCGGGGCTGGCGGCGGAGCCCGGGGACTCTGGCGAGGGCTTTCGTGAGGAGAACTTGGAGCGGGAAGGGGAGGGGGAGAGTGCCATGGCCGGCGAGCTCGAGCTCGCCCAAATCTGGGCGAGAGCTCGCCGGCCGAGCTCGCCCAGATGGCCGGCGAGCTCGAGCTCGCCGGCCATGGCACCCTCCCCCTCCCCTTCTCGCTCCAAGTTCTCCCCACGGAAGCCCCCGCCGGCGTCCCCGGGCTCCGCCGCCAACCCCGCCCCGCCCGATGCGGCCCTTGACAACCCGGATCTCGGGCCCTTCCTCCTGAAGCTCGCGCGCGACACCATCGCCTCCGGCGACGGCCCCGCCAGGGCCCTCGACTACGCGATCCGGGCGAGGCCGGCCTCCTCGAGCTCGCCCAGATCTGGGCGGAGCTCGCCATGGCTAGCGAGCTCAAGCTCGCCCAGATCTGGGCAGAGCTTGCCGGCCGAGCTCGTCCAGATGGCCGGCGAGCTCGAGCTCGAGCTCTCGCCGGCCTCAGCTCTGACCCGGTCGCCGGACCGGCGACCGGGGAAGAAGAAAAGAAAAGGAAAAGAAAAGAAAAAAAAAATTGGACAAAATTGCCCCTATTCCGGTGCCGGAAATGTCGGCCGGCCGGCGAACATTTGGTCACCCGGCGAGCTCAGGTCCTTATTTGATACTAGTTTGGGCATTTGGGTCCTTAATTGATAGTTTGTTCACTTGGGGTCCTCTTTTAAAAAAAGGCACCCACTTTGGGTCCTTATTTGACAATTTCCCTAAAAGCATTGGAGTAAGTAGCATGATGGGGCCGATCATGACGTGTCGGAATTGGTTACTTCTCACATTGGATTACTAGGGAGTGGACCTAGTGGTCGCATAGGACTTAATCTGTTGGTGGGAAATGTTAAGAGAATGGCTCCATTCCTCCATCTAATACCGAACCAATGATTTGAACAACATGCGTATGGTCGATAGTATATGTAAGACGGACACCGTCACGCCCTAAAATCATTTTTTTGGGGACGGAAGATGGACTTGGTGAAGCAATTCTTGAGTAAATTCCTTCTCGTATGATCACCCACTAAACCTGATTGTGGATACGGCGGCCTACACCCTTGCCCAAGCCACACAAGAGTTTAAAGCCCTCTTTGGGCGAGCCTGGGCAAAGGCTTATAGTCGGCCATCTCGTTTGGGCCCGAACTAGGCGCTCTATGCCCACAAACTTATTATATACTTTTTTGGGGATGAATGCATGAGAAATCCTAAAATTTGAGGCAAAATTGCGATCAAGTTTCAAACTTTCAAAAACTACAATGGACGCCTAAAACTTATTCAACTTGTGCAATCGAGTACTATTGTCAACTTCGTCCAATTCGAGTGACAAAAAATTCTACAAGTGGTATTTTAAAATATATCTTGAGCTCACATGGTACTAACGTGGCACTGAATTTGAAAAAAGTAATGCCAAAAGTTATAAAAAGCAAGGAAGAAAAAGCCAAAAAACGAAAAAAAAAAAAGAAGAAGAAGAGAAAATTGTCACCATATCGATTATGATCTATAGGTCATTAATTTGAGGAATTTTTTTTTTTTGGTTTGGGATAGATTTCAGATTCAAAAAATTGGAAAACCTGTTCCAATGGATAGGTTCAACCCGAAACCAGGAACAAGTCTTTATGTTTTTCTTGTTTCATGTTTTCGCGCAATCTTGAGGCATTCCATGGTGTATAATGATGAGTGTGTAATCCAAAATCACCAGTATAAGCTTCCATTTCCGGCCATATCCATAACTGACACTTTTACTTTGTCAATATTTCATATTCTCCGTGTGTCTATATATGAGTCGTGATCGATGGATAGTAGCAAATGGTGGTTATTAGATATGATAATTTACTGTAATTGTTCAATTAAGAGTATAGGTGGAACCCATGACACGGTAGGTTACGGATTCTTAGGTATACATAGTAGATTTCGGGCTCTAAAAATTAAGGAACATGTTAGGCAGGTTCCACCTGGAATCTGGACGAAAACCGAAACCACTCACCCCTAATCCAATAGCATCTTTATATTATGCATCCCGCTCACATCGAGAGAAATTATTACGTGAATGTCATACGCGTACAAAAGTGAATATAAATCATTAAAAATGATTGGAATCACATGAGTTTCATATAAATTTTAATTCAAATTGTCGGATTTAGTTTTTTTTTTTTTGTCGAATCGGATTTAGATTTACAGTAGTCCAAAAATCCACCGAATAATTTCTCGAACGCCATCATGCTCAAGCCAATTATAATAGCTGCTGCTGCTGCTACTACTTCCTCGCCGAGCTGAGCATCAATCGCGCGTGCTTTTGACCTTACCCACTAACCAGTCCATGCCAAGCAGGCGAAGCCAAAGCCAAGTCAAGCCAAGCCGCTGCAGCCATGCCAACCTCATGTCCCCCTCCTCAATCCTCATCTCTCTCTCTCTCTAAAAAAAAAAAAAAAGCAGATATTAAGAATACAGCAAAATTATTAAATATGATCCACATTTTTTAAAAAATCGACTATAATTCACAGCATCACTAAGCACATCAACCGTACGAACGATTTCGATATATATTTAATCTTGTTACGTATAAAATCCCCCGGTACGCATTTTTGCAACCAGAAAAATGACACGAAACGTCTTGAACTTTAGTTCAACAATGAAGTCAGTAAATTTTTTATATTTTCGATATTATCCCTGGACATGACTTTATGAAAATGATTTTCATTTAATTCAGGAACTAAATTTAACATATATCAAAAGTATAGGATCACGTCAGACAATTAAACTAAAATTCTTAGGTGATTTATGTCATTATCCGTTCTACTTGTGGTTCAAGTTCAAGATCTCTCCGCCGCGCCAATCAGCCTACGCTGCCCATCGCCATCTCACGTAACGGTAATGTAAATAAGGTAAACTCTGGAGTGTCCACTGTCCAGATCGAGGCATTTTCGTAAATAACGCGAATCCGTCGTGTTAAAATTGCGCAAACGGATATAAAATACGCTCACTCTATCTCTCTCACATGGAGTACGCATTCACCATGGCAACCTCCTCCTCGAGGATCAGCGCCCGCACTTACAGTTGATCGACGCCGCAGGCGCTCGGCCATCTCCGGCCCGGAAAAACCTGCTCGCGGCGGCGGAGGTGGCCATGGCGGCGGCGGACAGGGCGGAGCTCGCGCTCGCGGAGAGCCTCATCGAGACGGTCAACGAGATTGCCTCCATCTCCGACTACAGGTGCGCGGTGAAGAGGCAGTACTGCAACCTCGCCCGGCGGCTGAAGCTCCTGATCCCGATGTTCGAGGAGGTCCGGGAGTCGAAGCGGCCGGTCGGCGAGGGGGCGGCGGGGGCCCTGGCCTCGCTGAAGGAAGCGCTGGATTCGGCCAAGGATTTGCTCCGATTCGGGAGCGAGGGGAGCAAGATTTACATGGTTTGTACGTGGCTTTCTTTTTTTGCCTTTTCGGCTCTGATGCTATACCGTAATCAATGCGCGCATGCTTTTTGTTGTTGCTGTTGTTGTTGTGTGTGTGTTTTCCTTAGTTCTCGGAGTCGTTTTCAGTTGATTTACTCGATTTGGAATCGAGGCGAGCATTGAATCTGCTGCTGCCGTAGCTGGAGTTAGAGCTCGCAGCTAGATTTAGGAATCTGCTTATTCACTTGTTGAGGGCCTGCGAACAACTGAATCACGTCGCTCGTAGCCGCGGTTTCGAGGCAATCTCGTGACTGCAGGGTATGAAATCAGGCAACACCGATGGAAGTAGTTGCGGTTGATCCAAATTTCTGGCTCTGCTCCTTCTTTTGCAAGCTGTGGTGCTGTCTAGATTGGATTCCTGATTTCCAGTTTCTGAGCATTCATTTCTAGTAAAATATGTATCGCGGACTAAAGGGTTTGCTGATTGTTTTCAAACTGAGAGAGACTGGATTGCTTTGTTCGAATCGTCATCTGTCATCAAGTATTTTTGAGTTGGAAAGATTTCTGAAATAGGAAAGGGAGATATACATATGGGAAATCGAATCAACTGCTTTGGTCAACGCACTCCACCTCTACCCCACTTTGATGAAGTTTATGATTTGTCAATAAACTTCGGTCTGCAAGCTTGAGTTGGACTTTTGTGCTCCTGACCCTCGATCCATTTAATATCGATCTGTTGACAAAATGCAATTCATGATTTCATTGCTGCCGCTTTGTTCTTGAATCTGTCACGTGGTTGTATCTTAATCATTCATATTGACAGTATTCTACGGCTGTCACGAGCTCTTAGTCTTTCGTTATGGCACTACTAAGCTTTGCCCATTGGGTTCTTGCCGTTATTTAGCTTCGATCTTTCGTATTTTGCAGGTCCTAGAAAGGGAGCAACTCATGAGCAAGTTTGACGAGGTGACAGCGCATATAGAACGAGCTCTAAGTGCAATTTCCTATGAAGAACTCGATATATCTGACGAAGTTCAGGAGCAGGTAGTTTTCCATTTACGCAAGTTTCAGTTGCCAGTGGTGCGGGACATCGTTAACTAGAAGTTCAATTTAGACTTATCTTCCTTTCATCTATCATCAGTAATTTCTTGAGCTTCAACAGTTCATATATTCCTAAGTTCGCTTTTACGCTGTCTGGCCTTATTATGATGCTCAATGTCACAAATATGCACCTTATAGAGCTCGTCAGATATTGCCAATCGTTCAAACCAACAATCATCTCTGCTGATATTCAGCTTGTAAACGCTTCAGTGAAGCTCAGTTTGTCTCTTAATGTGCTTATATTCAATTTGATTTCTTTGTCCAGGTTGAGCTTGTTCTTGCACAGTTCAGAAGAGCCAAAGGACGGACTGATCCACCGGACATGGAACTCTATCAAGATCTATTGTCTCTTTATGAGGGCATTGACGCAGCTGCAGATCCAACTGTCCTAAGGAGATTGATTGCGAAGTTGCAATTGATGGAAATAACTGACCTTACTCAGGAATCGCTTGCTCTATTTGAGATGGTTTCTGCTAGTGGCGAGGATCCAGGGAAGAGCATTGAGAAGATGTCCATGCTGTTGAAGAAAATTAAAGATTTTGTTCAGACAGAGAACCCTGAAATGAATGCTCCTGCAAAAGTAGAAAGTTCACCCCTGCGTTCAGCTGGAGAAGCATCTGCTGATGGAAACCACAAAGCCCCCATTATACCAGATGATTTCCGCTGTCCAATATCATTAGAGTTGATGAAGGATCCTGTCATTGTTTCAACAGGACAGGTAAAAGGATGCACAATCTTTTCTCTCTGTGAATTAGGATTTAGAATCTCAATTGCCTGTCTAACCCTCTTTCATCCTGTTCAAGTGACCATAAATAACAAGCATTCGAGTTGGTGTATCACATTCACAATTTTGTGTTCTGTCTGAGGTCCCGCCATTGGAAGAGCATATTGGAAACTCTTGCTTACTTTTGTCATTTCATTGCAGTTGCTTAGAGCAGCCTGAAATATTTTGAGATATACCAGAACAAAACTCATTATCTTTTTTCGTCTCTAAAGCAATTCAAAATTGAAGATACATCCAATTCTTTTACCAGGGCGACGCACGTATCTCTTCTCTCTCTCTCTCTCTCTCTCTCTCTACTAATAAGAGTCATTTGACTTAATCCCTATCTGTATTTCTACATTAGCATATCCATATGCCTGTTACATGTTACACTGTATATAGAATGATCCTCGTTTTGCCAGTGCAGACCTATGAACGCTCTTGCATTGAGAAATGGCTGGAAGAAGGGCATGGAACATGTCCAAAGACACAACAAACCCTCGCCAATACCTCCCTCACACCGAACTACGTTTTGCGCAGCCTCATAGCTCAGTGGTGTGAAGCAAATGGCATCAAACCGCCTAAACGTCCTGCGAGCTCTCACGCTAATAAAGCTACTTCTGCCTTCTCCCCTGCTGATCGTGCAAAGATTGAAGTTCTTCTCCGTAAACTAATCTCTGACATCCCCGAAGAGCAGCACTCTGCCGCTGGTGAGATCCGCCTTCTTGCGAAGCGCAATGCAGATAATCGTGTCGCCATTGCTGAAGCCGGCGCAATTCCTCTCCTAGTAAGACTCCTCTTAACACCTGACTCTCGTACGCAGGAGCATGCCGTAACAGCTCTTCTAAACTTATCCATATGCGAAAACAATAAGGGAACCATCGTCTCTTCGGGAGCAGTTCCTGGTATAGTTCACGTTCTGAAGAAGGGAAGCATGGAAGCGCGGGAAAATGCGGCAGCCACCCTTTTCAGCCTTTCGGTCGTGGATGAATATAAAGTCACCATTGGTGCTTCGGGCGCAATACCACCGCTAGTAGCGCTTTTAAGTGAAGGTACCCAAAGGGGGAAGAAAGATGCTGCAACAGCACTTTTCAATTTGTGTATATACCAAGGCAACAAGGGTAAGGCTGTGAGGGCCAGTATCGTGCCCACACTAATGCGACTGCTCACCGAACCTGTGGGTACTATGGTGGATGAGGCCTTGGCCATATTGGCGATACTTGCTAGTCACTCCGAAGGAAAGGCAGCCATGGGAGCTGCCGAGGCAGTGCCTGTTCTTGTCGAGTTTATCGGCCGTGGTTCTCCACGAAACAGAGAGAATGCAGCTGCAATTTTGGCGCATCTCTGCTCTGCAGATCAGAGGCACCTAGTAAAGGCACAAGAACTCGGAGTGATGGGTTCACTCGTGGATTTGGCGCAAAACGGGACAGATAGAGGGAAGAGAAAGGCGGCACAATTACTCGAGCGAATAAGCCGGTATGTCGAGCAGCAGAAGCAGGCTCAGGCGCAAGCTGAAGAAGCCGATGCTCAGATTCACCATACACAGCCTCTCCCCCAAAGAGATAGCTAACTGTTTATACGATTTTTCGTTCTTTCTCTGTTCTTGGGAAACATTTTGGAAAGCCAGCTTTCATTTTTCGTCGCAGGTGGGAAAATCACCTGGCCATGCAAGTTAAAATTCTTTTGTCAGCCCGTGGCAAGGACCGCATCATTCTTACTGTTTGTCGGAAGAAATGCGGCCAAAGGTGGCAGCGCGGAGGGAGATCGAGGAGGGGCTAAGTTATTTCTGACATCAGTATACAATGTACACGAGCTAAATGTACCATCATCGTCCTAAGTTTTTTAATGGAAGAGATGTCTGTTTACATAACTGTTGGACTCGCAAATTTGTCCCATGTGTCGACAGCAAAAGTTTCTGTTCCAATGTCATACTTCCTATATATAAGCTACGACCAGTTTTTCAACATCCATCCTTCGCAATTTGGTTGAATTCTCAGCCTACTTAAAACCATCTCTACATGACAAGGTCGGACCAGAGTTGTGGTAGATATTACATCCCCACGAAAATGAAGAAGCAAGTTCAAGAATATACACTCCAGCTGTGATGAAACTCGCGCCAGTCATTATTTAAAATCAAACTCTACTACAGGTCGTGAGGCAGCGCTTCAAGATTGCCAGATAGATCGATGAACTGCTACGTGAGTAGAACTTGCATTCCAAATGGCAAAAGAACCCGAAACACTCGAGCGTAAATTCAGCTCTCATAATGAAGCACTCCGGTTAAATTATTTCTTTCCTAAAATAGAAACTTAAACCAAGTGAAAAGAACCAAGTTCCAAAAAATTTTCAAATGCGGGAACAGACAAGGACTTGCTCAAATGTTCAGACTCGGCACTGAATATCATCTTCTACTTGGCTTCTTCAATTGGAAACTCTTATCAATTTCAACCAGCCGCTCTACGCAGCTGAACTACTTCCTTCCCCTGTTAAGCCTCTGCAGGTGATAATTAATGCTTCCCCAAGCCGTTCTGTTTCTTCCACTCTGAATCAAACAAGAGCCAAAAATAAAAGGTGGTTCTGCTTAAAAATGTGTTCATACAGGTATCGGGCTCACAATCATGCACAAGAGAGAGAGAGAGAGAGAGAGAGATAATAAGAATAGATACGCAAAGAAAAAGTAAAACAAACCTGAGCATCCATGCAAGCACTCAAAAGTTCCTTTGGCCGGACGCATTTCTCATCATTGTTCTGGCTTAATGCCAAGCAATTGAGAAATGATATCATTTCCTTCATGCATGGCTTTTGAAGCGAACCAAACTTTTTGGGGTTGATGTACAGTGCTCCTGCTTTTCGGCCCATTGTACTTTGAATCTCACTGCACACATCCCAACGGTCATTATCAGACAAACCAGAGATGAAAGACCTTCAAATATAGTAAGATTAAACAGCAGGAAACACTGAACCAGATCTCCTGTAGCAATTTCCATCACAGCAGTTCAATAAACACTTTCAGGCAGATAAACTATGAGCAACTGCCTAAGCCTTCCTAATATATTCAAACAACCCACACTACTCGTATGAAGCAAGAATCACAGCGCTGCAGATCAAGAGAGCAAGAGAGCGAGAGAGAGAGAGAGAGGAAAACCGGTATATGGCATTGATTTAGGAACCAACCAAAAAGGCTAGTACATGATTATGACGCCTAATGACCACAATTTTGCTAAAAGAACATAGATAGTCCATATTGAACAGAGTAATTTAAGTGGATATTGGTGTCATCCAGAAAAGTACAACCACCAAAACAGCAAACCAAACCCAAAAAGAACATGTCCACAGAATCCATCACACTCCTTTTGAAGGGGAAGAAAGTTCTATCTGAATATCCTGCAAATGGGAAAAAGGTAGCTAAGGCCCTAACATCCAACTCTCCATTTGATTGGAAAACCAAATCAAAGCACCAAGAACGTCCGCATCAACATTTTATTACCAACAGTACCACATTCCATTCTCTACAACTTTGGTGTGATGCTCATACTTTCATAAACAACATGTTGGCAGATAATCCAGACAAAAACATAATGCATCATTGAGCATTGACTTTTCATTATACGTGATCTCCACTTCACCTCCACACTCAGCGATATTTCACCTCTACACTGAGCCATTGATAAGAAATAACTTCACTAGAGGAACACTCAAACATCAGGATAAATCAATTCCTGTTCAAGGGGTGTACAAAGTGAAGCAGAACGCATGTAAACATTTTCTAAATGTCAAACTCCTTAAAACTTAACTAAAGTCAGCATTAATGGAACTGCTTAGAGAAGCTAAAGGTCTCACTCAGATCTACTCTAGTATTGCGAACAAGACCCTACCAAGCGGTAAACAGTAAAATTCTTTCAGATGAATTAACAGTTCAAAAAAGTATTACATGATTCAGTTTGCTTATGCAGCATTGTATCAAACAAATCCACGCGATCTATGACTTGCTAAACAATTTCCAATATCATTGAGGTTTAGATTAAAGTAACCTTAACCTGTATATACACAATAGCACTTGAGGCACTTGAATTTACATATTTACGCACTCCGCTTTAATTTCCAGATGCTAATCTGCTAATAGCGTTTTTTTTTCCTTCCAAAAAACATCCCACTTTGAATATAACTTGCAACACTTCCTTCGTTCAAACAAAGAATAGCCCGACTCGACAAGAGGTTTATCGGGTTTCCCGGTAAAATTGCTCAGTATCGGCACCGTGTGAGCTACTCTAACAAATGAAATTCAAGGGTGCAACATCCAACAGAGAAAGCATGGCAAAATCGATTATCAAGAAAGATCATGCCATCAAGTTAATCTGCATTTCACTTGGCTGAAAAAACACAAGAATGAACAAGAATCCCCCCACCCACGATTCCAACAGGACAGCTTTTCAAAAGGGACCCAGCAAAATTCAGCAGAATCTTTACTTTCGCAACACAGCGAGAACGCCGTAAAAGATCGAGCGGGCACGACCCTAATTCCATCGTATCCCCGAGGGACTTCAGATTCGAAAGAAAATCAAGAAGCGCGCTTCCCAGCAGAACTTAAACTCAAACAGAGTTCATTCTTGCGCTCAAAAACCTCTGCTTAATCGCCACAAAAGGAACAAGATTTAGCGGCTGGAATCAACGGAGCGTACCTGCGCCGGATCGGAACCAGCTTTGCGCCGAGGTAGCAGGGTCGCCGTACTGAGGTTTCGAAGGGCCGAGGCTTCTGCAGGTCTGTCTGAGAAAATCGGCGAGTACGGAGATCGGGGTCGAGCCGTAGTGTTTCCGGTCCGACCGCCGCTCGAACGTTCAGGCCCAGCCCGAGTCGACCCGGGGGTCCTGGCCCATTGGAAGGGCGGAATATGGGCCGGGCTTTTCAGGATTTAAGCCCCAATAAAGCATACCGGGCCTGGGGTTTATGGGCCCGAATGACAAGCCCGGACCGGATCAATTTGGGTCGTACCAAGCCCGAAATTCAGCCATTTCTCTCCTTTTTTTCTTTTTGCAAATATAGATTTGTTGTCGATTTTTGAATTAAGAAATTCACTCAACCAGTTGTGATTAGCATACAATGGAAATAAACCTCAAGTTCAGGTTCATTTTCCCTTTACATTTTAGGTTATTTGGTAAACTAAACTAATTCAGTGACATTCGGGCAAAGAGATTAAATTTATATTTTAAAAAATCAATTTGGCTAGACAAGTTCCTTATGTCGAAATTAGAAAATAGAACTAAAGATATTGATGTTTCTCACGGCGCGAAGCGGTATAATCGATCAATCGATCGATCTTAAAATTCGACTCGAGCCAATTAGGTTTTTTTTTTTTTTAAATGAATTGTGTTGACGTGTGGATTTCACATCTCTTAGTAGTGGGACGAGATCAAGTTGTATTTCGGAAATTCTATGAAACTCAAAACTGGTTGGAGGCGAATTCATTCGGTGCTCCAACATCCGAACTCAACCGTTCGAATTACTATAGTGCATTTACTTTTGTACTAAGCATGACGTAATATCGGTTGTTATAGCGAACTTCGAACAAAGTAAAAACGGTGCAACAATGGTTGTGGAAGGGGAATTACGAGAGCAGTTTAACACAAAAATTCAAGATGACGAAGCCGCGCATTGAAATATCTAGTGAACGCGACACGGTTATATACTTCCACCATTCTATCAAGCGAGACATAAATAGAAATATTGTTCTAATTAGCAATAACATCCTCATCACTTTACCCCTGCTAAATGCGACCCTTGTCGTCTCTCACTAGATTTGAACTCGGAATCCCGATCGCCTTCCTCCGCCAAAAGAGGTGTCGGGCCGAATCGACTGGCACGATAAATAAATAATCCGAAAAATCAGAAAATCAAAAGCTGTGCATTGATTGCTACGAAATAGAAAGGGAAGAGGAGGGGAAAGGCTTCCCGCACTGCACGAGGGGGTGGAATAGTCCACATGTTTTTATTAACGCCATCACATGCAATTGCCTAAGACAGCTCGAACCCCCCTTCTTTCTCTTCTGTCTACGTGCGAAAAGAAATGGTCTTTTGCAAAGACTGGTAGCAAAGGCATCTGCTTGATCAATTAGGGGAGGACAGACCACAAAATTTCGACCCCCTCGATTTCGTGAAGTACCCGAAATTTTGGTGAGCTTCCTTGCAAGCTACCTTTGCAGTGCGGGCCACGCTTTCCGGCTTTGTTTTTTTTCTTGAAGAAGATTTTCGGCCGCAATACAAACGTCGCCCCCCGTGGCCAAAGGAGCGACGGATGGAACGCGATGGCCTCCAGCGCGAGCAACGCTCGGAATTTCAGAAAGCACATCGCCATTGCCATTTACGGAATGAGCCTATGCGATATGTTCGGAATATTGAAAGCAGCCGGGAGAGGAGGAAGAACGGGGTGAATGTTAGGATTAGGCGCACAAACACAGCGAAATAGAAGATTTTATCCAGCTCATTCTTAAACTAGGGCTACATCCAACAGAAGATTGGCAAAATCCTAACATTCACCCCGCTGAACGGCGGCCACGTCAGCGCCGACCGGCCAAAATTGGCCGGAAAGACTCAATTGGCAAGAATTTAAAAGGTTTAGGACTGAATTGGCAAAATTAAAAGGTTTAGGACTGAATTGGCCGCCGTATAATAGGTTTAGGACTGATTTGACAATTTTCCCAGCATCTCACACCTGTCTACTTTCAACTCTCAATTATAAAAGAAAGAGATCATATTTGGATAGCAAATATTCAAGGATAAGGACACTAGAAGTGCCATAACTTTCGTACGGCGCTCATTTGAGTGTCATAACTCTTTTTTCGCTCACTTAAGTGCCACTTCTAGAAAAAAAAAAAAAAAAAGATCATTTGAGTGCTACTTCCGGCGAAAATAGGTCATTTGAGTACTATTTCCGGCAAACCATCCTATGTGGATTTTTTTATTAATTTCTCATCCGACGTGGATTTTTTAAATGTTTTTTTATTTTTATTTTTATTTTTATTTCCTTTTTTTTTTCAATGCCGGCGAGGGTCACCGGCGACCTTCGCCGGCTGCGAAGGCCTCATCCAGATTGGGCGATGGCCGCCTTACCCTTGGCCGCGAAGGCCGTCGCCAGATCTGGCGAGAGCTTCGCCGCCTCGCTCGCGGCCGCAAAGGCCCTTGGCGGGGCAATCGCGGCCTCGCCAGTCGCAGGGGAGTCGGCGAAGGCTCTCGCCAGATCTGGCGAGGCCACCTCGCTCGCGACCGCCTAGATCTGGCGACGGCCTTCGCGGCCAAGGGCAAGGCGGCACTCACCCAATCTAGGCGAGGCCTTCGCAGACAGTGAGGGTCGCCGGTGACCCTCGCCGGCATTGAAAAAAATTTGCAAAGCAAGAGAAAAAATAAAAATAAAAAATTCAAAAATTCAAAAAAAATGTTAAAATATTGTCAACGTCAGCTCCGGCGAAACCACGTCGTATTTTCCGGTTGCCAAATGGCCGATGGCACTCAAGTGATCACTTTTTGCCGAAGAGGCACTTAAGTGAGCCAAAAAAAGTTATGACACTCAAGTGAGCACCGTACAAAAGTTATGGCATTCCTAGTGTCTTTATTCCCAAATATTCATGTTAAAAATCATATTCATTGGCCCAAACTCAAATTACAAATAATACACAAACCGAAACTATAAAAGTCATTTGGCGGCTCGAGAGCGTTGATCCTATGACCTCCGCCAGGGCAGGATTCAGTCGGCTCCGTCTTTCTGTCTTCTATATTATCTGATAAGTCTTTCAACTTTGAGAATTTCTAGAGACGCCTCTTCGAGAATTTCCGAGGGTTTTTGTCTTTCATGTGGAGATTGATAGGAAGTAGCCGGTATGTCCGCGGAACTCGAGGTACCGAGCTCCAAGGACTTCTACGCCGATACAACCAGGCGACACCACCAGAAGTATGGCCAACGGGATCTGGCAGCGCTTCTTGAGATCATCCTACTGATCACAAATATCAGACATTGATCAATACAGTGCTCGCGAGACCCCATGCATTCCTGTCGATGGGGAAGTACGATGCACGCCCCATCAGTGAACACATTCATTGCGCTCCCGAAATTCCGAACGGAGGAGAGGCCCCCAAAAAAGAGAGAGAGAGAGAGAGAGAGAAGGGTGGGTGGCAGATCTGAAAATAAATGGAATTGATGATGATGATGGGTCGGCCATTTTCGAGTTTTAAATGTTGATGGGGGCCGCACCCTCACATGGAAACATGTTTGCTCTGGTGTCGTCTCCCTCACTATTAATAACAACGTTTACGTCTCGGAGTATCTAGCTTCTTCAACCCATATTCAAATGATGTCCATACAAGAAAAATAAAGCAAAAAACCAAAGAGTTCGATTTCGAAAGATCGCTTTACCCCCCCATTTCTAAAAAACAGTTGGTAGCATGTCGTCGTGTCGTACGTCCTTTTATAATCAATGGGGAGTTTTGGTTTTTTTTGGCCCCCCTTATCTTTTTCTTTAATGTGAACCGAAAACCAACGAGACAATACGAAGGTGCGGATCGAAAGTTTTGGATGGACGACACGAGCACGAAATGATTCCGCGATTGGCGTTTCGGGCGGTCCACAAAATGCCACGTGGTTCAACATTTCCGTAGAGGGGAAAAGCCACGGAAAACCTCCAAACTATGCCCAACCGTGCTACATTTACCTTAAATTTCTTTCTGAGATATCAAAAACGCCAAACTATCTAACCGTGACGTATTTATCCTAAACTTTTTCTTGTGACATAAAAGCCCCCCAAACTTACACCTACGTGACACATTTACCCTCCCTCCGTCAATGTTCCATTAATGATTTTTCAGCCAAAACAACGTCGTTTTTATTTCACTTAAGACATATGGGCGCTATGCCAACACTGTTTGCTCTCTGGCGTCCGTGTAACTAGATTTTTAATTGTTATCATTGGCAGAACTTTGACGGAAGATAAATACGTCACACAGGTACGAGTTTGAGATTTTTGGCGCCATAAAAAAAAATCTAGAATTAATAGAAAAAAAAAAAACAGAGGATGACATTTTTCCACCCACTCACTTGCATTTATCATTAATCAATCTCTCAAGGCTTTTTCTATACTTCGGAAAGGCACCATCTTTTCTTAATGGGCGCTGGTGGTGGTGTGACTTTCACTGCTTCAAAATCTCTTTTTTTTTTCTCTTTTCTAAAAGATTGTCCATCTCGGAAAAACAAAGAAGAAAAGAAAAGGAAAAGGTGGTGGTTTTGCAAAGGGAATTGATAAAACTTCGAGAGTAGGGAGAGGGAGGGAGGTTTGTGTGTGTGTGTGTGTGCGTGGTGGGGGCAAAAAACTTTCGGCCCGATCGCGTGAACAACAACGACGACGTTTTCTTGTTGTTTAGGTAAATGCCCCGATGGACTCTCTCCCTTGTTTTTTTCTCCCAAGGCCTGTCCAACACTTGTTCCTTTGGAATCGACCTCTCCCCCAACCCCTTTACTTTTCAAATTTCGTGAAAAAACCAGTCTCCCCCCGTTCTATGTGCTGCTCGACATTTCGTCCCCTCGGACCTTTGTTCGCGCGATCCCTTCGTTTTTCTTCCGGCGACTTTTCTCGTGTGATTCATTCGTTGGACGAGTCGATCGCTTGAGTCATTAAAAAGGGTTTTGCTCGAACGAGACGACCGGGGCTAATCCCTTCGTCCCCGAGGCTCGAATTCGAGTCATGGCACTCCCGCGTCCTTCTTTAAGAAGGGTTCGGTTTCTTCGGGGTTTGCCTTTTCTAGAATGAGTTGGGCAAAGACCGCCACTACCATCTCCCTCTGTCTCTCTCTCTCTCTCTCTGGTGTATCGACTCCTAAATTCGTGCCGAGGAAACGGAAAAAAAAGTCTTTACCCTCGATTGACTTGAGCACAAAGAGATGACTTTGCGGTGGCGTGGGAGTAGGAATTTCTCTTGCTTTCCCACCTTTTTCAAACGGGGGGCGGATCAATCTAAACGACCAAGAGGACAACAATTAGCTGGACACCATAATGCGTTTCGACGCGTGACTCGAGAAGACCTTCCTCCCCCCATCTCATCTTTTGTTTTTGGCACGAAGTAGGTATTATGGAACCATCACGTCTTTTTTCTTATTCATATGCTTATATGCTCCTCACAACATGCATACGAACTGAGCGAAAATAAAAGGAAAAAAAATTGCAGACGATAATGATGACGACGATGACGAGGAGCCAACCGTTTCTGTTTTTCTTTCTCTGGGGTCTGCCTGGTGCAGCCCCACACCGTCCTCCACCTCCATGAAGATGGAGATAATGACTTGTCTTGTGACCAGGGAAAAGAAAAGGGGGGAACACAAAAAAAAAACAGAGAAGACGAACAAGGTAGAAGACTTCGTCTGCACGACTAAAGCTGTTCATGGCACCATGTTTTGTTCCTTCGCTTTAAGCATATGTACCCAAGAATCAGATTTCTTGAGAAAGCGAGGGAGAGAATGAATCAGAAAGTAGAAGAAAAGTGATTCGAACGCTCTTAAAGTAAAAGGATTTTACAGTGTTTTTTCTTCTGGTATCAGCTTGAAGCCAGCCAAAGGAGAATCTTTTCCTTTCCGACTGAGCATTTTCACACACCCACTTGGCAAAAAAACTAGAGAAAACTATGTGATCTTGTGATTGCTGAGAAGGCTCCAGCGGCAGCCCATATATGCTGGTCTTCCTTTCTCTTTCGCTTTTCTTCTTTCCTTTTTTTTCCCTTGTTCAATGTTTGCCTGTTTTGTGTCCAAAGGCTCCTGGACATTTGAATGATTTAGATGCTGAAAAATTCAGCTGGGAGGGTCGCCACGCCACTCGAGCTTGACGTGACCTTACCATGATTTTTCTCATTTCAATGAGCTCGCATTAAATGCTCAAGGCAAACTCTCATGCATCTTCTGGTGCGCTTCATGACTCATAACGACCAAGAATGTCCTAGACACTACTTATCACTTATCAGGCCTTTTACCCAAATCCCCACATAACAGAAACAGCTAGCTCGGATGGAATCAAGTGCCCTTTTGGATTAAAATAGAATCGACACGATAAGCAATCACATCCCAAGAAAAAAAAAAATTTCAAAAAGAAAGAATGAACAAGGGCCCATTAAGGCAGAGTTCATGGAGATCAATGAACAATGGAGTTCTTGTCTAGGGGTCTGATTGCTGTTGGAGAAGATGCCAGCGGGAGTACCTGGGAAGTGCTTGAAGGAAAATGCGGCATCGCATTCCAAAGAACCTCCCTTTTCTCTCCATTCTTGCCCACGATGATCCTCACAAGAGGCCCTTCTTTGTTGTCTCCATCACCACCGCAGGGCTTTGCAAAGCCACATTCTTGACCCCCTGCTCTTCTAGCAGCCTCCTCTCTGAGCCTCCTGCACAGTTTCTCCTCTGCATCCCTGAGGAACTTGAACTTCGGCGGCGGCGACTCCGGAGGCCGAGCCCACTCGGTCTCTGCCGAGGACTCGAACAGGGGGTTGTTGAACCCATTGCTGCTGTAACTCTCAAGGGGGTTGAGGGCCGATGATGACTTGATTGGAGGTGAGGCCAGAGGAGTGAGGAACTGGGTCTGGTCGAGGGCCAAGATTATGTCACTCAAGCTCGTGGTCCTTGAGCCTTTCCTGCTCTTATCACCCCTTGACCTCCCATCCTCAGACTCCAAGTCCTCCCTAGTCTCTTCCTTGATTGTGAAGAGGAACCTCGGCGGGCCATGGAGGTTGTGGAGCCTCATGAGCTCCGAGTCCACACTCTCTTGATCCCCAAGGCTCTTCGACAGCAAGTCCTTGCTGTTTCCAACTTCTAGGTCTGACATTTCGTGCCCATTCGCACCTAAATCTTTCCCATTGGCTGGATTTGCGCTGCTGTTTTTGGCGTTGGCGGAGTGCTGAAACGAAGAGGGCCTTTTCCAGCAGATGAGTTGGAGCAATTCTTTTGCGTATTTGGTGTAGTCTTCTTCTTCTGGGACGTCTGCAATACTACTCGAGGCTATTCTTCTTCTCTTCCACCACAGCACATAGTACACTTCCGCTACAAAAGCCAAGAAGAGGCAACCGAAGATTATGCTCAGCGCAAGCCCCAGATGATTGAAAGTTGCCATCTTTCTCACTCCAATTTCACATTCCCAACCAACTGAAAAGTTTGCTCAGATAATTCAAACTTGTCAACTCCAATTATGACCTTCCTAGCGAGTACTGAGAACACCCAAACGGTAAAAACTTCGCTTTGAGCAGAAACGCAGAGCAGAAGCAAACAATCAACTCCGAAACTTGCCCCCAGAATTCAACCACGGAGTCGAGACTTCCCCAAAAGAGAAAACAGGAAAGACCCCACTTGCTATCTACTCTCGGAAAAGCCACAAAGCGCGAAGCAACCTCCCGGAATAAGCCAGAGCTCGGCAACTTCTCGCTCACGGCTCACAAGATCCAAACTCGGGGGTTATCTTGCAAGCTTCAGAGTGGAGAAACAGGGCTGCTGCAGGACAAAAAAACACTTACCCACCAGCCCAAATTCTCAACCGCTTCAAGCCAGAGACGGGTCGAGATGGAGACGAAGCATCACTACAGCCCCCCTCCGAGCTCAAAACCAGACAAGAACGCACGGACGGACCTCAAATTTTGCCGGAAAAAAACGAGAGAGGCGAAAGGAGAATTGCCTGTTTATATAGGATGGGACGATGGAGGGATGTGTGTGGAAGGTGGGCTGTATGAAGATGCGTGAGGGGGGAGAAGAGTGGTGGAAATCTACAGTTGGAGGAAAAAAGATCAGCTCGCAATCACATGGGGTTCGCTAAAGTTCGTGCATCATTAAAGCCACGGAGAAGGAGAGAGAAGAGAGAAGAGAGGGAGTTCTTGGGAGAAAATCTTCGGAATTGAATGGGATTTGCCTTTAAAATAATCGGTGGTGATTGCATCACCCACGCGGGCGTCCGCGAAAGCAAAAAAGCTTCGATCTTTTTTTGTTCGGGGTGGTGGGGGGGAACGCAAAGCAAAGGCAGCGGAGGAGGGGGAGGAACACAGCTCGACAACGGTCACCTGCGAAGATCTAGCTGGGTCGTACGCGCACGTTTGACGGAACACGACCGCACCGAACTGTACTCCATATTCAAACTAATCGATCTTGCACGACAATTCAAATGCACCTTGATCATATTGTTGTTGTCATTTCGAAAGTAACTCTGTCGTCGATAGAAAGTCCTGCCAAAAAATTTAAGCGCGTGGAATTTTCAGCAGTGCATATGAAATTTAACAAATGGGGGTGGAAACACATTCACGAAAGGGACACTACATGAATATATAAAGCGTTTAGGACCCGTTCCGTTGTCAAGCGATGTAGCACAATACTTCAACAGTTGTATTCCCTAGTCGAACGTGCGATAGGATGCTTTGTTCGTGTTGGGAGGCACAACGGAAACCCGATATCTCGGTCCGGGAAGATCGCTAAGAGAAAGGCCGAGTCTGAATAACGCGGTATATCCTATTGGATGTATCTCCATTCGAAAATTTAAACCGATAAGTTAGGATTGAATTATGATATATTAATCGTTTCACGTTACGCTCCTCTCTCATATGCGAGCCACCTGCTTTAGGCTCGCTCCCTCTTAGTCTAGGTATCCTTCCGCGCCAACATTATCTTAACTCGAGAACATTCACATTGGCTATGTCGAGTTTGGCAAGTACTCGTCACGACAATATCTATCTTCCGGACTTTACCTCAATTGCCTTGGCCCAGCTAAGCTTAGCGGGAAGTTGGGGGACGCCATTTGTCACATTGATTAGAGAGTCGTGTCTAGTATTTTCCTTTTTTGAGATATCCACCAAACACCGGTACATGTTGAGAATGAGTCGCCGATCAAGCATTTGGCTATGATACTAATTCTTGTGCAATAACGCAGAACTCTACGTATCTTAAAATTTATTATCAAACAAGAGAGAACGAAATTACCAAAGACATCAACAAGGAGAGTAAATCGCAAAGAGATCAACTTATGAATTTGAAGAATTGCATAGTCATAATGGCTTGATCGTGCAAGCGTTCCCCAGTCCTAAACTTGCCGAGATTCGATCGCGTACTCTTTCTCGATTTCAAACTCTGAGCACGAAGATTTGCATTTGTTTAGATAAGGATGCACAACATCATTACACAAGTGGGGTTACGCTCCTATTTTACGCATAAAATTTCCATCTCGTGTGTTAATTCCGTGGATTTCCTTGGCGAGAGTACCATGAGAGATTGTGAATGAACACGATGGAGAATCTCTTCGGCGTAATTCCCCGAATTAATAGCGAATTTTCTTACGATCGCTGATCGGCTCTCTCCGCGAAGCAGGTAACAATACTCGAGCTGAATCATGTAAAATCTCTGGCGCCCTTATCGTTCCTCGTAGACTTATCCAGCAATTTTCTTTCTCTCGTATCCGCCATTAAAAATGCAAAAACAAGTCGATTTTCCACATTTTTTCACATCAAATGCGAAAATTATTGCAATCCTCTCTATATTCAATGCAATCAATATTTCGACCAAAAAAGAAAATGCAATCAATACTACTGTTCCAATGCAATTTAAAACCAAAAAAAAAAAGCAAAAACAGAATGCCTTACTGCATTATTATTAATGGAGGCCCAGTGGGCCAGATCGTCAGTTATGGCATTAGCCCGGAAACTGAGGGCCGTTTGATGAGATGATTAAGGGGGGGCCCATTTGGTTCCGGGAAAGCTGGACAGCGGGCCCACTTGAAATCGATGCACCCCTGATCATCTCGCACGGACCCGACTCTGACCCCAGCACGTTATTTCGATTCCTCACCGGAACTTGACCCGGATCCGGATCCAGATCGTTCGTTGGGCCGGCGTCGGAAGTCGAGCTAGGAACATGGACAAGACGGCCATTTATAAGCAGGTTAATTTGGGTCGGGGTCTAGTCGAGTCAAGTCGACTCGATCCAATGCAATTACCGTTCTCGAGCTCAATCCGAATGGGGTGGGTGGAGCTGTTGTTGGAGAAGGTGGTGGTGGTGGAGAGCAGGGGTGAGCATGGTCCAGGTGGATGGTTCCCACCGTGGAACAGGGAACCGTTCACTTAGGACCGGTTCCGAAAAATTGGAACTGGAAATCACCCGTTAGTTCCATGGATCCACTTAGGAATCGGACCGGACCCACAGTCCGGTCCGATCCGATCCGATTTTTCTGGTGTGTCCCCAAGCTTCACATAAATGGAGGTGACCAAGATCGAGAGAGGGAGGCGATAAATGGCCGGCGCAGCCGTGAGTTATTGGGAGTTGGAGTCGAGGCCGTGAGTTGATGGACGATGAGCTTAAGAATCGAGATCATAAATAAGAGATAGAGAGACGACTCAGACAAAATGAGAACGAGACAAACACTCAGTCAATGGATGTTGAGTTTTAGATTAAGGATTTTATTATTTTGATTTTTCTTAAAATGTTTTCTTTCTTTGTTGAAAATTTTCTTTAAAATATATATATTACTGGTCGTGGTGGGTGGGTGGGTATGCGGTTCCACGCCCAGAACCGGATTGGTACTCACCGATTCTAGTAAATTGGAACAAAAAATCGAACCGGTCTCCACAGGAACCGCCGGTTCCAGTCCGGTCCGGTTCCGGGACAGTTCCGAGTTCCTTTGCACACCCCTAGTGGAGAGTAGGAGTGTCAATGGGTCGGGTCGGGTCGGGATTTCATGATACCCTACTCGACTCGAAATTTATAGGGTGTCTCCTCCGCCTCCACTAGCGGCGAAATCTCCAGCTCTGCCACCTACGCCACTGCCATCGCCTCCTCTGCCGATGAGGCACACATACGAGGCCGTTGCTCCCGAAAGCTCGGCAGGTAGGGCAAGCGATGGAGCTAAATTTGCTAAAGTCGGAAAGGCGCCACCATTGCCGCCTCCCCCGCGGCCACCGCCCACGCCGCCGACAGAGTACAAGTATGCGAAGATCAAGTGGAGGAAGAGCAGCGTGGCGAAGGAGATAAAGACAGTTTTGGCTTCGGTGTTGTACAACCAGAGAAAGAGAAAGAAGAAGCGGAAGACCAGAAACGCTACACAACGACGCCGCCCACCAACTGGCACCCCAGATGACCTCCCATTCCGCCGTGCAAACACCTCCACCTTTGCCACCTCTGCCGCCTCCTCCTCCGGCGTCCGTCTTCCACAGCCTGTTCCGAAAGAGCAGCAAAAGCAAGAAAATCCACTCGATACCTTCGCTCCCGCTGCCCTTGCCGCCGTTCCGGGTGCCGGAGCTCAGGTTCGCAGCCAGCGGGGACTTCGTCCGGTCATGCAGCGCCTGCAGCTCTCGGTGCAGCTTGCCGGAGCTGTTGAAACCGGAGGACGCGGACATCCCGTCCTCGCCGGGCCACGAGGCGGCAGCGGCGGCGGACAGCCGAGATCGGAGCCACGTGGTGGGGGGATGATGCCTGGTGGGCCAAGATTGCTAGCGCCGTCGTGGCTTCTCTGAGCTTCGAAGCCATGGCGCCTCTTTGCTCAGGGGATTAAGAACAATGCTTCTGTTGGCTTAGATCTAGGATTTCGTCATGTAAAGAGAAGGGGAAAGAGAGAGGGAGATTTGCGGGTGGTCCCAATGTGTCAATGGGTGGAGCCTAATCTTACCCCAACCCTAATAATACCCACGTCTAAAAGCCTTATCAGAAGAAGACTAAGGCCCAACCCCAAAATACCCTAAAATTTAGGGTCGGATCGGGTCGGCATGGGCTTTTTTGACACCCCTAGTGGAGAGAGTATCTCACTTAGAGAAATTCGTTATTGCTATCGCTATTCGTTGTCGCCGTTACTGCCGCCATCGCGGTCATCTCTCAAGGGCAATGGCCTCGATGACCTTCCACAGTCTTCAGCAATCGTCCTCGATCTCTCTGCAATTCACACGCGATATTTCATTTCAGTTTTCGGAATCGACTTTTCCGGTGAAAATCACGATAATCCTTAGGAACTCAAAAGCGGTTATTAGAGGCCAATCCAGCTCTTATCTTCTTTTTTTATGTTTTTCATAATAGGACGATGGTTTTTTTGGGCGGGGAACACTGCGTAAGTAATAATCTCATGCTAATACGACCAGATCATCAGCTACAATGTCATGAATGAATTTCTTATATAATATAAAGATAATTACATTAAAAGTCTTAAAAGTTGCTGTAAAAGTACATTCGAGTCCTAAAAGTGCAATCAAGTATTGAAACTTATCAAATCGGTGCAGTCAAATACCTTCGCTAACTCCGTATAATTAACTAACCGAAAATGATGTGACATTTTTTATTGTTTTTCAAAGAGAGATGTGCTGATGTTGCTGCCACGTCAGCCATTTTAGAAAAAAAAACTAAAAGGAAATAGACTTGAGAAAAGGGGGGAAATGGGTTGATATTGAATCTGTCCGCAGGTGAGGAACAGATGTGGGTTCGAACAGCGTCGGATTATGTCCCCAGCAAGCTGGTAGCAGAAACAACAAGACCAAGTGAACGGCACCAACAGCGCAAGCTTGAGGTCGTCTCGCATGGTCCGGCGGCTCGCTCGGGCGGCATCAATCTTAGATGCCGGCAATAGATTTGAGCTCGAACTAGACGGAACTAATAGAGGCAATGGATTAAAGAGTTAACAAGTTCTCGGACTTAATTGCACTAATCGAAAATTTTGGGAACCATTGCACCCTTGCAATAAGTTTTCTGAATTACCGGCGCACTCACGATCTCTCCACTGGAATGCACCGCTTGTTGTGAATGTGAAATATGGTATTCATGGCTTATGAAGTGGTTATAATGGGTGTCTTTAATTTGGCGATGCAATTTAAATTTCATCTAAATTATATTAATCTAACTTATATGTTAATTTAATTTAGGGTCGTTCTTCTATATTATCAAAAGTCAAAAGTAACCTTTTCACCTTCTCCGTAGAGAGATGCTAGCTAGCACGCGCCTCCATTATTTCAAAGCCCATACGATTGTAATCCAACATATTTAATAAGATACCAACTAACTATAGAAGTAAATATTATCCTATCACGAAAACAAAAGGCCATTTAGTGTGTTAGAAATTTTGTAGGGGTGAGCATGATCTGGATGGGCAATTCCCACCCTAGAACCGGGAACTGCCTATTAAGGACCGGTTTCGAAAAATTGAAATTGAGAACTGTCCGTTGGTTCCATGGATCCACTCGGGAACCGGGCCGTCGGTCCAATTCAGTTCCCGAGTGAATCTATGGAACTGGTCCCCAATCCCCATAAAAATTGCATTCATCAATTAATATCATGATGATTCTAGTTTTTATGTGGGTATTTTTTTTTTTTGCAAGGGAAAAGATAAGAATAATAAAGAAATCTAAACACGAAATGATACCATGATTTTAACATGAATGCTTTCTTTTGGATATTTGATTCCATCTCTTGCTTATTATTTCACACGAAATGATATCGTGATATTTGGATGCATGCTTCCGTTTTATATATATTGGATGGGCAATTTCACGCCTGGAATCGGATCAGTACTCATTGAAAACCGAACCGATCCTAATGGAAACGCCGGTTCTTAGCCAGCTTAGTCCGATTCCCGATTCCTTCGTTGGAGCACGGTTTTTAACAAAATCCACATTTCTAAAAGCGGGGAAGCCGACACGACCTCGTGGTGGGTTGAAGCTTTATCTTATTGCGCCAACTAGTTTGTCGACCTCACATCGGGACTGATGCATGCTGATCCATGCAGCTCGAGACGTCGTCGTTTCCACGCCACTTCTCAAATGGGAATCGAGAACGTAGGCTGGAATTCGGAGGATCCATGTGCTGAGCTGGCCTCCATTTCCCCAATGCCAATAGATTCTGAATTTTCAAAATCGGGTCAGTGGGTTGCCTACTCTTGCTTTCTTTTCAATGAAACGTTGATCACAAAAATCGGAGAAATAATCCCCGATCAGTTATAAATTTATTATATAGATATTAATTCAGTCATAAATTATTCAATTTTGCTAATTTAGTTCCAAATTTTTAAGTGAATTTCCTATATAGTCATTCTAACCAATATCTTTTTGGAAATGGATGACGTGACGGTGCAGTCATCGCCGATCGTATTACATGGCACATCGCTAAGTCAGCGATTTCCGACGAAGATTCACCCAAAAAGGCTACATTGAAATTTTCGATCAAAGGTATGGAAGTAAATTATGTAAAATTGAAAAGCTTATGACTGAATTACTATCCGCACAATAAATTTAAGATTAATTGGACAATTTTTCCCTAACAAAAATCACAATGTGCATTGTTCAAAATGCTTTTGAATTGAATGCACGATCGTCTATTCCTATAAATTTAGATCATTAAATAAATTAGACATATGGTCACTTTGTTTCGATGTGTACATTTGGTTTCTATATTTTGTTTTCTTCTTGGGGCATCTTTAAATTATTGAAAAGTTTATATCTAATTTGATATCCGCACAATAGATTTGTGATTGATTGGATAATTTCCCCCTAAGAAATGATTAAGTGACAGTCCTTAATTTAATATGAAATTAACACAATGTTCTGGACCACAAAAAAATAAAAAATAAATAATTATAAGTTATTGTGGGATCTATTTTTTTAAGAATTTGTAACTCACAATATGTTGTTAATCTCACAATTGTCCAAAAATTATTATGCTAGCAAAATTCTTCCCTCATTATCCAGCGGTGCCAAAAATACCCGAACCGACTCGAAAATTTTGGATCTTTTTTAAGTCGGGTCTCTTTCTGATTCGGATAATATGTATAAAAAAATTGCATCATAATAATTTTGGATTACACAGGTCGGGTCGGGTCAGGTACTTGACTCAAATCGAAAAACATTAAAGAATACACCCACTCACTCCTCGAAAATGTGAATCCCTAAAAAAAAATGTCATTTGCACCTCGATCACCAAGAACACTAGTGTCGACTCCACTCCTCGTCTGTAGCTCGATCACAATCTCGGTCTCCCACTTTGTTTTGGCCGCTACTCCTTCGGCCCTCGTACGACGTCGTCACCCCTCTATGTCTTCCATCCCTCGTCCCCATCTGTAACGACCTTGAATGTGTCTCTTTACCTAGCTACTTGAACCCACTAGGCACGACGTGAGCAAAGCCTTCCCTCCTCAACAAGGACAAGAGACTACGATAACAAGTCAAGATATATGGGCTCGCCTCTGATGGAGCTTGACTCGATCCTATGTCGAGGTCCCGGAAAATCCCTGATCTTAGGTCGAAAGGGGAAGAGGATAGAAATGGAGGCGCGGCCGGGTGGATCTAGGCGGGCTGCGGGGTCGCCAGTAACATTGTGGTCGAGGGACAATGGCTATGTCTCAACTTAGAGCATGGCAGAGGATAGAGAGGAAGGGAGAAAGGAGAAAAGGGGATAGTTACAGAGAGTGAGTTATGTGAGAAAAAAAATTAACTCGATCTGAATCATACCGACCTGAGCTGTATTTTCGATTTGAGTTCCACGCAGTTCAAGACACTATAAACACACGACAATCATGCTGGGGTCGGTTCGGATATCGATGGAAACTCGATACAATCTGAACCTGTGACACTCGTAGTATCTATCCGAACGAGTCGAGACAAACATTGTCCGCACGAAGCCAATTGTTTTAGTGGCTTCATAAAAGGGTTCCACCTCTCCAAAAGAAGAAGAGCTTGCTGAGCTGGGGGGCAAACGAGTCATTCCGCCACTCCATTAGGGCCCAAAGAACTCCTTCCACGCCTATAAAATCTCACTCACCCTCTACCCTTCTCCTCTCACACTTGGCCAATTCCCCTCCCTCTCTCCTTCTCTCTCTCTCTCTCTCTCTCGGTGACAATGGCTAGCTCCACTCCCTCGCTCCTCTTCACCACCACCACCACCCTCCTCCTCGTCCTCCTCCTCCGCGCCCCCTGCCTCTCCCAAGCACTCACTCTGACCCTGGTCAACAACTGCCCCTTCACGGTGTGGCCGGCCATCCAGCCCAACGCCGGCCACCCCGTCCTCGAGCGCGGCGGCTTCCCCCTCCCAACCCTCACCCACCGCTCCTTCCCCGCCCCCGACGCCCTCTGGTCCGGCCGCGTCTGGGCCCGCACCCACTGCTCCCACGCCCACGGCGGCCGCTTCTCCTGCGCCACCGGCGACTGCGGCGGCCGCCTCGAGTGCGGGGGCCTCGGCGGCGCCGCCCCCGCCACCCTCGCCCAGTTCACCATCCACCACGGCCACGCCGACTTCTCCTCCTACGGCGTCAGCCTCGTGGACGGCTTCAACGTCCCCATGACGGTGACGCCGCACGAGGGGAAGGGAATGTGCCCCGTCGTGGGCTGCCGGGCCGACCTGCTGGCGACGTGCCCGCCCCAGCTGCAGATGCGGTCCCCGCCGGGGCACGGCCCCGTGGTGGCGTGCAAGAGCGGGTGCGAGGCCTTCCGCACCGACGAGCTGTGCTGCAGGAACCACTACAACAGCAAGGAGACGTGCCGGGCCTCGAGCTACTCGGAATTCTTCAAGCGCGCGTGCCCCGCCACGTTCACGTTCGCGCACGACAGCCCCTCGCTGATGCACGAGTGCTCCTCGCCGCGCGAGCTCAAGGTCATCTTCTGCCACTGACGCCAACGCCGCAAGAGCTCGACGCCAAGTTCAGTCCAGTGCAGTGGAGTTTAAGCTTTAGTCCTAAGTTTCTCGTAATAAACAGATATCTTCCTACTAGGAAAGACCGGCACGAAATGTCTGGTTTCTTTGTGGGTTGAGTCGATCGTTTTGAGTGTGTCGAGCTTGAAGATGATGTGAAGATTTCGATGTGCATTCCCTGTGTAACCTTATCTTCTTCAGGTTTCTAAATGGCATGAGCTCGTTTCTGTAAAGGAAAAGGTGCATTTTTCGGATAACCCATGAATGGATGAGCAGAAGAAAGCGGGCTGCACGCAAATCGATCTTTAAAGTAAAAGGCTTGAAAGTAAAGAAGATCGAGATCGCTTTTTTCGTTTCTTTATGGCGTGGTGGGGAGCGTGATGCGGTGGGCTCGGCAAGGTGATGTCTCGTTTGTTTGTCGCGATGGGACGCAGAATCTCTGTCCATCTGTGTCTGAGGAAAGTTGTCTGACTCGGACAGAAGACTGGTCTCGTCTCGTCTCGTCTTTCTCTCTCTCGAGATTTCTGATCCGGCACGCATTGTCACGTGCAATGCTGACTGTGCACGTAGGCTGTTCGTCTTACGTTATCCGTTGCTAACTCCAATTTTCTAAGAATATATTTTTGGCATCGAGCTTTTTTTTTTTTTGCTAAAGGCGTCGAGCTTTAAAATGCGATAAATGGATAAAACTTTTGTGACAGTACTTAGATACGTCAAAATGGGTTTATGATGCATTTATTAAACCATATTTGATGAGTTAATGTGTTATGTAGGTTAATTATATTAAATGGGTTGTAGATGGGTTTAGAAATGTAAAACTCAAAATAATATGAGTGGCAAATGAGTTCATAACTTACTAAAACCCAATTCACATCTATGGTTCTCTCTCGCCCTCGCTCAAACTTGCACTCGTTCACTCTATGTGCTCACCCTGGTTTGAGAATAAGTTTTCCTATATTTAGTTAAATATGGAAATGTTTTAACAATATTGATTGGGTCGAGTATAGGTTACTATATATGCATTACGTAGACATTGATCAATTTGAATCGAACCATTTTGGATTTGATTCACTCATTTGATGGGTCTACCAGTATCATTTAATGCACGAAATATAAACGTGACTTGTCTTCTCATTTTTTTGGGGCACGTGCATGGTATCGCGGATAAAAATGCTGCCGGCGTGGCTTTCGAAAGAGAGTGATGCAACATCGGCTATAGGAATGACATATCGAGATGATTTAGTTTCGTAACGGTTGTTCTCGACTTATTTTTGGGAAGATTTGGATTCAATATTCTCTTAATGGAATTTACAATATGCAATTTAAAATTCATAACGTATTATTATGTATACTTTGAAATATTTTTCTCTTACCGATAGCCTTGTTCCTAGCTCATTTTTACTATGTGAAAATTTACAATACAATACGATGTTTGTAATTAGATTGAGATTTTAAAAATTGATTTTACTTTCGTTTCCAAAACTTTAAACTTTTATCTCTTGAAGAATTAAGGTTAAATTCCCTTAAACGTTCTAAGTTTCTTTTACTACTTAGAAAACTTTTAAATTTTTCAATCTTTGGAAAAGGATATTTTTATCTAATTTAAGTAAATACTTCAAATGTCCAAAAGTCTATTTTTTAAAATATATATTACATTAAATTGATTATTGATAATCAATTGCAAAAATCAATTCAGCAAATTAATTATGTTCTCCAAAAGTCTACTTTAATGCAAGGTCTTGTCTTCAATCCTCCACTTATGGCCTCATCTTCTCTGCAAGGCATCCTCTTCCTCCTCCGAGCCCGAAGATTAGGAGCGCAAATGATAACCATTCTATTCCATAAACAATTCTTGGAATAGGACGAGTTTCTAAGGAAAGAAACCCGTTTGATAACAAAAAAAAATTTCTATTTCTGGAACAAAAATCCTTTGATATTAGCATAAAATTTCTATTTCCTATAACATAAACCCGTTTGATAACAACATAAATTTATATTTCTCGGAACATAAATCCATTTTTTTAGAAATGGTCTTTAAAATGAAAATCAATCAAAACACCAAAACCCTAGTAAAGCCCGAAAGGCTTATTCATTCAAGGGATTGTATTGTTTTTTAGGGTTTTAGGGTTTTTTAGGGGTGGAGACCCATTTTGGGGGTTAAA